TTAAATAAAAATTATTAAAAAATAAATTTTTATTTTTAAATTAAAAAATTGGCAACAAATTTAAAAGCCCCAAAAAAGTATTTATATTTAAATAAAAAGTAATCAAATATAAAAATGTCAAGGAGAAGAAAGAGGAAATAAAATAGTAAATTTGTTTTTTTGAAGAGGATATTAAACATTTAAATAAAGAGAATTTGTTTTTAAAAAAAGTAATTTATTCTCAAAAACTTTCTTTAAAAGTTGAATTGTTTTTAGAAAATAATTTTGTGTAAAGAAGGAAATAGAAGGAGAGAATAAAATAAAGAAAAAAGAGTTAATGAAGGGATATACTTGATACATAAAATATACCTCATAAACCAAATAATTTCACTCATTTTCCGGAATTAACGCGAGTTTGACAATAATAAAATGTAAATGTTGTATGAAAATTTGAAAATAAAATTTTTATTGAAAATTATTGGAAGCCGATAGGATTTAACAGTCGACAAATTATTTAGAATTCCACAATATCCCTTCTTAAACTGTTTATCAGTCCGATTTAGTTTTCGCATTTTTTTGAGTGATAACTACAATTTTTATCCGATTTTGTCTCTAATTTTATACCCTAAAATCTTAGCTTCATAATCATACTAGAAGTTTTAAAAATAGAAAAGATCAAAATTTTTTATTCCTTCTGATATGAGCGTGGGTAGAGGTATATCTTGGGGTTTCTGTTCTGTGGGGCATTTTGAGGATACTAAATATAGTACATTTTCAGCTAAATTATGACCAACAGAATCTTCGATGGGAAAACTGTTTTTATGGTGTTCCGGAGGGTAGTCCGGATATGGTTTAGCTACACTATGACTTTTTTTTCAAGTTTATATCAATGTTTATCAAGTTTATTAAAGAATAACAAAGTTTACAACAACTTTTTATCAGTTATTAACTTATTGTGACGAATTGAGGATTTTGCACGATGGGTCGAATTGTGGGGGGCCGAATCGATCTTTTTGATCAGTGGGCCGAATCCAGGAAAGGCCGAATTGTGGTGTGCCGCGATATTCTTAAAGTTTGCGCCGTTTTGAGCTTGCGCCGTTTCGGTCGCGCCGTTTTGGCCTGCGCCGTTTTGTACTTTACTCACAATCTTACTTTTGTTTTTGTTGTTTATTTTGTTTACAATTGTGGTTTGTTTTTGATTAATTTCTTCTCATTTTGTTTTTACTTATGTAAACTACCTAAATGTTTCTCTCTTATCTGAAAATTAAAATTAATGGCAAAAGTTAAGTTTGTATGACGCATTATTTCTTATTTCTCCATCTCCTTAGAAAAAATGAGGAAGAAGTGCTTCGATAAATTTGAGGTTTGTCAGAAGGTAATTAAGTGTGCAGAATCCGTATAAGTTAAAATTTTATTTATTTCGAATCCTGGACACGAATTCGACTAGGTCGAATTCTATTTTGAAATTTGAAGTAAAACATTTATGGCTGAACTGACAGCTTGAATTCGGGTCCGGGATTCGAAATAAATAAAATTTGAACTAATATTCTGTCTCAGTATACTTGATTATCTACTGGAAAAGCTTAAAAATATTGAAAAAGCACTTATTCCACACTTTTTTCTAGGGAGATGAAAAAATGCGTCATGCAAACCTAACTTTTACCAAATTAATTTAATATAGAAAGCTCAGTGGGTGGGCGCAGGTTTCGTTCAATAGTTTCACAATATTTTTAACTTGATTAATTTGTTCCGAATTCTTTATTTCAACTTTTTTGAGATTTTTCTTTTTGAGTTTTATTTGGCAAAGAAAATAAAATTACCTTTTTATCTTTACAAAATAAGAACTGTTTGTTTCTAAATCTTTAAAATTTTAGCTAATTTTTATTTACAAAAATAAATTTATTAATAACAAATTATGGGTTTATTTGGAAAAGTTAAAGTTGATCCCAAAGAACAGGTAATTCTTTTTCTGAAAATTATTTTTTATTTTCTTTTAAAGGTCCGCGCCTTGCAAAGAAAACTTCGACTTGAAATTTCACATTTAAATCGCCAAATTAATGCAATTCAAAGGGAGGAAGAAAAGGTTAAAAGGGAGATCAAAGCAGCAGCTAAAAAGGGGGATAGGGATGTTTGTGTTGTTTTGGCTAAGTCAATTGTGCATTCTAAAAAGGTTTTTCTTTTTTTGGACAGAATTAAATTAATCTAAAAAATTTCAAAGTCTGTTGCTAAACTCCACGCAACTTCAGCTCAAATCAATTCAATTATTATGAACATGCAACATCAATTGGCGACAATCAGAATGGCTGGAACGTTAAAACAATCGACTGAAGTAATGCGGGCAATGCAGCAATTGGTTAAGGTTTGGGAAATTATTTGAAAATAAAATTGGCATAAAATTGGGGGAGGGGGGGTTGTTTTCTTTCATTATTTTCTAGTTTAGGTGCCTGAAGTAATGCAAATAATGCGTGAAATGGCCAAAGAAATGACAAAAATGGGTTTAATAGAGGAAATTATTGAAGAGACGATGGAATCTTTTGAACCAGAAAACATGGAAGAATTAGCCCAAGAAGAGGTTGACAAAGTCCTTTGGGAGGTTACTGCAGGGGAATTGGGTAAAGCGCCAGCTGCTGTCTCTGATACTTTGGAACAACAGAAGGAAGAAAGAGCTAAAGCTATTGCAACAGCCGATGAATTTATTGCTTCTCAAGCTTCCCATACATAAATAACGAATTGTAAACTTATGTGATTTTTGATTAAATTTGGGAATTTGTGAATGGTAAAAGTGAAATTTTTTTTAGATGTTCATCAGAGAAATATAAATTTTCAAATTTAAATTTTCAAATTCCCAAAGTCCTCTGGTCTCTTTATAATTATTTTCCAGAGTTGTTTATTTTAATTTCTAGTACAATTATGTATAAATTTTTGACATTTAATTTTTTTAAATGTTTATTAACAATTTTATTTTGTTTTATATTTTTTTTATTTTATGTTTTTTCATTAATAGACAAAGTTTTTGGTTAACAGCATTATTAAGTTTAATTTATAAATTTTCGTATTCACCTTCCCTATTATCTCAAATTCTTAAACATAAAAATTATTTTTTTCAGATTAAGTATTGAAATTTTCTTTTAAAAAATGTCTGAAAATCAGCCTACGTTCTTTTATGGTGTTGCTTATGGATATAATCGTGGAGTATTTTCAACATATAAGGTTTGTGTGATTTTGCTTTTAATTGAATAATTGGGTTGGGGAGGATTATAATGTCGTTATATGTTTAAAATATTTTGCTAATTAAATTTAGGAAGCTATGGCAGCAATGAAGGGATTTCCTCAAGCTGTTTACAAAAAGTTTAAAAATCGCGACGATGCAGAAGAATTTGTTCAGAAATCTAAACCTGATGCAACTTTATGTAATAATCTTATTCAAATTTTTAAATTTCTTTTCATTTAGTTGAAGCTAAGGAGACTGATACTGACGATAAATTCTATGCAGTTGCTCGTGGTCGTGTGATTGGAATATTTAAGGATCTTGAAACTGTCAAGAAGAATGTTAGTTTTGATTTTTTGTAATTAAAAGTTTGCGAAAGTGAATTTTAATTTTTTTTCAATTTTTATATAAAAATCAAAGTAATTTTTGCTGACAGTTTTTCGATGATTAAATTTATTTGAAACATTTCCGAATTTGTCACTTTAACATTTAAAAATTCAGTTAAAATTTATTTTAATTTTGATTATTTTTAGACTCACGGATTTCCAAAGCCTATGCACAAAAAATTTGCAACTTTTGCTGAAGCAAAAAGTTATTTTGACAAATTTTCTGAAGGAAAAGGTTTTATAGAATTTTATTCTTAATTTAATTATTTTTAGTTGATGAAACAGCAAAATCTCCTCGTAGGAAGCGAACGCATGCAGAGACAACTGATGGGAATACTGATGGGCCAGCAGTTAGGAATGTTGGTATGTAATTGAGGAATTTTTTTAAATTATATATTTATTTTGAATTAACTGGTCTCTGATAAGTCTGAAAATTTTTTAGAGTTTTTTATTCTATTTTCAAATATTTTAGCACGTAAACGTACATCTGGCAAAGTTGGCGATACTGACGAATCTGAAGGTGGCGAATTGGATCATACACAAATAATGAATGAATCGACTGAAGATGAGGAAGGTGGAGGGGCTGATCAGGAAGAGGAAGAAAAGGAGGGAGAGGAGGCTGTTTCTAATAAAAATATGGACAATAAAGACAAAATTGAAAATGGTGGGGAGGTTGAGGAAAAGAAGGTTGAAGAGGAGGGAGATAAGAGTGAAGTTATTATGGATGAGGGAAAGGTTTTATTGGATTACAATTTTAAATTAATTTTAATTTAGGGTCAAAAGGACGAAGGAAATCCATCTAACGCTGTCGAAGAGCAACAGAAGCATGCCATAATGGAAGAATAATTTGAAAGGTTATGAAATTTTTAGTTTAAATATTTAATTTTACCAAATATATTCATTGTATCTCCACTTTTATTTAAGACATTTAGACAGGAAATTTTAATTGAATGTTCCTTGTTTTTCGGTTGGATTTTTTGATTTTTATTTTCTCTGTCTATTTGTCTATAATTTTTGCGTATTCAACCGTTAGCACATTTTTATTTAATTTTGGTGCAAATAATTTCGACAAATTATGGAATATTTTTTGGAAAAATGGTTATTTAAATTTTCAAAAATATTAAACATAAATGTGAGGATATTACTTTATGAGATTTATATTTAAAAATTCAAATAACTATTTTCTTTATTATTTGATTACTCATTGCCCCTATTTTCCCTCTATTTAATTGTCAATTGCCAAAAAAAAATAACCGATTCTATGGTCACATATTTTATCACATTTATTTTGTCTAGTGAAAAAAATATTAAATGTTAAAAAATATTTTGTGTTAATTTATTTTACTCGATGATAGAAATATTTGCAATTAATACTTAAAATTTCAATTAAAGAATGTTTCTTTCTTACAGCTAAAAACAAATATAGGTATATTTACATCTTTTAATTGCTATTTTAATGGATTCTTCCGATTATTCAAAAAATTATAATCTTTTATTGGAAGAAATGAAAGCTGATGGTGTTTTGCTTGAAATTCCGCGAGTTCTTAAGGAAGAAATAATAGAAGAATCAAAAAGATTGGCAAAAATAGTTTGTTTAAAATTATTAAAAAGAATGATTTTTAAATTTATTTGGATTTAAAATTTTATTTGGGCATAATTATGCGTTTTTTTAATAATTTATATTTAATATTAAAGCGTTCAGAAGTTGAGCGATTTGTAACATTTATCGATTTAACAACATTAATGGGTGACGATACAAAATCTCGTGTTGATGATTTGGTTAATTCTGCTATTAATCCAGTTAAAGAGGTAAGGATTTATATTTTAAATTGTATTTTCAATATGTTTTAGAACCTTCAATTAAAATGTGCTTCTGTTTGTGTATATCCTGCAAGAGTTTTGGATGCCTGCAATGCCATTAGAGCAAATGGGAACTTGTTAACTATTGCTAGTGGTAAATAAAAATTACTTAAGTTAGATATAATTGGTTTCTCTATGTTAATCATCTGTTTTTCCTCGTTTATTACGACATAATTTCGTGGTTAACAAACTCATTTTTTATAAGGCCAAAAATGGTCCCAATCTAGTCATCTTTTCTTTATTTAAATTTTTAAACAATTTAAAGTTGCTGGTGGCTTTCCATCTGGTCAATATCACATTGAAAGTCGACTATTAGAAATTCAATTAGCGATTCGTGATGGAGCAACCGAAATTGATTCAGTCATAAATCGAGCTGCTATTTTAGAAAATAATTGGAAATTATTATTTGAAGAACTTGTTAGGATTAGAGAAGCTGCAAAAGGAGTAAAATTAAAAATTATTTTGTCAGTTGGGGAGCTTGGTTCAAACAAAGCAATTTATTTAGCAAGTATGGCAGCAATGTATTCTGGTAATTTTCCTAATTTTCATAAATATTTTTAAAATAATATTTTCAATTATTTTTAGGTGCTGACTTTATCAAAACTAGTACTGGCAAAGAAACAATAAATGCAACATTAGAATCGGCATATATAATGTGTTCAGCGATTGCCCAGTTTTACAAAAATACAAATAAAAATGTTGGATTTAAGGTTTAATTTATTGAAATTTTTTACATAAAATTTATTTTAGGCTGCTGGTGGTATTCGCTCGGTTGAACAAGCATTGCAATATATAATTTTATTTGAAAGAATTTTGGGGAAAAACAATTTGGACCCTAAAGTTTTTCGAATTGGAGCAAGTATGGGATTGTTAGAAAATATTAGAGAAAAATTGTTAGATGATAAATTAATTTGAGTTTGTACAGGTCTGTTGAATTATCATTCCTCCATTATTAAATATTTTAATCTAAACAGAAACTAATAATTATGGCACACACCAGGGATCGCGCTGACAGAAAATCAAATTCCCGATTTTCGGGAATCGTGAAATCACGAAAATTTCGAAATCACGATTTTCGTTAATCAGGTCGGCGTGATCCCTGGCACATACTATGCCGTTATAATTTAATGAGAAGATTTTTTTATTTTCTTATTCTGGTACATTCACTTATTTGTTTTTAATAAAAATCTTTTTTGCTTTTGAATGAATTTTTATTATCTAGAATTCTTTTTAATATTAATAAATATTTATGAATATTTTCTTTATTATATAATTAAATTGTTTTTATTTTAAAAATATTAATGACAGAAAAAAAGCAACAAATTGCTAGTGCTGGCTTTGAACTTGTTCAAGTTAATATTTTTTAAATAAAAATTTTTAGAAACTAAATTATAGTCTTTACACGACAATCCGGATGTTTTGCCTCCATACAACAAAAAATTGGTTGATAAATGCGCCAAACAAATTATTGATCTTTATAATGAAAATGTTCGTTCTTTTATGGAGTAAGTTGTGTTTTTCATTTTAATGAAGCTGGGCAGGGAAAGCCTTCCTGATAGTATTGCCTTGTTTATTGTTAGATATTCACATTTAACAAGGTTGTAATAAGCATTTTTCCTCAGAACGTTTTGCACAAAAAGTTAATTCAAAACTTATATTCCTCTATCGCATTATCTGCACGGATTTTCCTTTTCGTCTGTCACAAGACTCATAATTATCAGAGATTCAATCTCAAAATTTTTTTTAATAAATTTGAATTTTAAGAGATTTTGTTCCTTTTTAGGAGAAAGAAACTAACGAAGACAAAGGAAAATGTAGACAGATAATGCAATAATATTTTTTATATTAATTTTTAGTTTAAAATCAAAGACAGACGGTTCAAATAAAGAAAATGAAAATCAAGTTTTTCAGCTGGTTCGTATTAGACAAGTTGCTATTGATCAAATAAAACGATGCAGTTAATTTTTAATTACATTATACCTATAATAAATAGAAAATTTTTTTAGAAAAAAAAATATCGGCCGGCCGAAGGCCGGCCGCTTCCTGAGAGTATGACATCTTGGGGGGTAGTTTTAATGGGCTTTTCAGGAAAAATACCGCTGGGACCATACGATGAACTTTTGGCACTGAAACGGCCGTGGCGAAGTGGCCAAATCCTGAACCGTCCGTCGGATCGAAAAACGCTTGCTGGGAGGAAACTAAGTTGGACTAAGGCTAATCCAACAAAAAAAAAATTTCGAAAATCCGATGAACCCCCGGGGACTTATGGGTGCGCAAAAATTCACCGATTGACGGTGAAATGTCCAATTGTGTCGGACCAAATTTTTATCTTTGGAACGGATGGGCCGAATTGAATGGGACCAAAGGGGTTATAGGTAATCGACCATGGGGAATTTTTTGTGTTAGGTCGTTTTGGTGCCGCACTCAAGTGTGGCACTGAAACGGCCAAAAATCAAAAAAACACCGAGGCCGAAGGCCGAGGAGTTTGGCGGGCCGAAGGCCCGCCGTAGGCGAGGGCCGAAGGACCGAGACGTTTTGGTGCCGCACTTGAGTGTGGCACTGAAACGGCCAAAAGTCAAAAAACGCCGAAAGGAGAAGTTGGGCGGGCCGAAGGCCCGCCGTTGGCGAGGGCCGGAGGCCCGAGACGTTTTGGTGCCGCACTTGAGTGTGGCACCGAAACGGCCAAAAGTCAAAAAAACGCCGAGAGGAAGAGTTGGGCGGGCCGAAGGCCCGCCGTAGGCGAGGGCCGAAGGCCCGAGCAAGAGTCTAACATTGGCGTTTGGGGGCCGAAGGCCCCCAAACGCCTCGGGACAACCCACAACAGTTGTCGAATGCACCACAGCGATCAAACCCATCGCAAGAGTCTAACATTGGCGTTTGGGGGCCGAAGGCCCCCAAACGCCTCGGGACAAACCACCACAGTTGCCAAATGCACCACAGCGGTCAAACCCAAAGTAAAAGTCAAACATTGGCGTTTGGGGGCCGAAGGCCCCCAAACGCCTCGGGACAACCCACAACAATTGTCGAATGCACCACAGCGGTCAAACCCAAAGCAAGAGTCTAACATTGGCGTTTGGGGGCCGAAGGCCCCCAAACGCCTCGGGACAACCCACCACGTTGCCGAATGCACCACATTGGTTAAACCCAAAGTAAAAGTCAAACATTGGCGTTTAAGGGCCGAAGGCCCCCAAGGCGAGGGCCGAAGGCCCGAGCATTCATTACATCCAAAACGCAGAGCAATAGTCAAAGGTAGGGCACGGCGGGCCAGAGGCCCGCCGTAGGCGAGGGCCGAAGGCCAGAGCATTCATTACATCTAAAAGGCACAGCAACAGTCAAAGACAATGCACGGCGGGCCTGAGGACCGCCGTTAGCGAGGGCCGAAGGCCTGAGCTTTCATTACATCTAAAACGCAGAGCAATAGTACCCACCACAGTTGCCGAATGCACCACATCGGTTAAACCCAAAGCAAGAGTCTAACATTGGCGTCAAAAGAGTCTAAAGCAAGAGTCTAACATTGGCGTCAAACCCAAAGTAAAAGTCAAACATTGGCGTTTGGGGGCCGAAGGCCCCCAAACGCCTCGGGACAACTCACCACAGTTGCCGAATGCACTACATCGGTTAAACCCAAAGCAAGAGTCTAACATTGGAGTTTGGGGGCCGAAGGCCCCCAAACGCCTCGGGACAACCCACCACAGTTGCCAAATGCACCACAGCGGTTAAATCCAAAGCAAGAGTCTAACATTGGCGTTTGGGGGCCGAAGGCCCCCAAATGCCTCGTGACAAGCTACCACAGTTGCTAAATGCACCACAGCGGTCAAACCCAAAGCAAGAGGCCGAAGGCCGAGGAGTTGGCGGGCCGAAGGCCCGCCGTAGGCGAGGGCCGAAGGCCCGAGCATTCATTACATCTAATAGGCATAGCAATAGTCAAAGGCAGGGCACGGCGGGCCGGAGGCCCGCCGTGCGAGGGCCGAAGGCCCGAGCATTCATTACATCTAAAAGGCAGAGCAATAGTCAAAGGCAGGGCTAAACTTTACCGGCGAGGGCCGAGGGCCCGAAGGAATGAAAAGGCAAAGCAAGACTTTACCGGCGAGGGCCGAAGGCCCGAAGCAATGAAAAGGCAAAGCAAAACTTTACCGGCGAGGGCCGAAGGCCCGAAGCAATGAAAAGGCAAAGCAAAACTTTACCGGCGAGGGCCGAAGGCCCGAAGCAATGAAAAGGCAAAGCAAAACTTTACCGGCGAGGGCCGAAGGCCCTAAGCAATGAAAAGGCATGGCTAAACCTTTCTTTACAGGCATCCAAACATTCTAGCAGCGCGCGAAGCGCGCCCCAAAGCCGTTAGGCTTTCCAACGGGCAGAACGCTATTAAACCTAAAGTATCCTAATAGGAATTGCATACGCACTACGCCGCCATACCCCAATGGGCACAACTAGTTATTATATTATATAAAATATTAAGCTCAATTAAATTTAAAAACTAATATCGGCCGGCCGAAGGCCGGCCGCTTCCCCGAAGCCTGACATCCTGGGGGCAACTTTTTACGGCGCATTCAGGAAAATTATAGCTGTGGCGCCACAACTTTTCCATTGCGCCGAAACGACCCCACTAAAATTTTTATCTCGTGAACCGTAAGTCGGAGCAGAAAAAGTCTGCTGGGAGGCACGCGCGCCACGATTAGTAGATATGATTTAAAAAAAAAATTTCGAAATTCGGTGAAGTCTAAATACCGAAGTGCCTGTTCATTGGTTTTTATTTGGTCCCCAAACCAATTAATTGGTTTTTTGATTTTCTATATCTCGTGAACGGCGAGGCGGAATTGGATGGGACCTGGGGGGTATTATGGAATCGCATATCTAGAATTTTTTGGGATGGGTTGTTTCGGCGCCACACTTGAGTGCGGCGCCGAAATGGCCGGATGAAAAATTCAACGAGTTATAACGCATTTTTGAGAACTGGGGGGTCTTGGGGCCTGGGAGTGATATTGGAGGGTAGAGTGTGGGGAAGTTATCGGGTGTTGACCACTTGAGTCTCAGATGAAGTTTTGGGGGTCATATGGGTCAAAGTGTCAAGGTCGAAAAGTCGACTTTTTTTAAAAGGTCGTTTCAGGTCTGTTCGATGGCCAGTTTGAAAGAGTGTCCCCTGGCGGTCAGAAAAAGGTATCATATGGTGGGGGTCCACTTGAGTCTCAAAAAGTTATAGCCAGTGTGGCAAAATGTCGTAAAACTTTATGAGACTCTAACGTCCCGGGGAAATTTTTTAAAATTTTTCTGACGCCGGATTCGTACTCAGCGCATGTCAGAGTACCATATAAGTCGAATTTTGGGTCAAAATTCGAAAATTTTGTCCCACCCCCTATTTCCAAAGGGGTACCCCTTTTGGGAAAATTTCGGGATTTTTTGGGGGACCTTAACTTTTTTTTGGGGAGTCGGATTGGGATGAGGTTTGCTTTATAAAATCAAGCAAAAAATTAGCTATTTATCGACCGAAGAAAATTTCGAAAAAATTCGAAATTGGGGGTGTAGGGGTAGAATTTCGAAAATTCGAAAAATTTTCGGTTTTTCGAAAAAATTTCGAGATTTTTGCCGGCGGTTCGCGCCGAAAGTATTTTTCCTGGATAGAGCAGAATTTTCTGCACCGGACAAGCTTTTAAAATTTATAAAAAAGGTATAATTCGGGGAAGTTATGATTTTTTGAAAATTTGGTCGATTTTATCGGCCAAAATTTTCGTCCAAAAAAATATTTTTTCCAAAATAGGTAGAAATGGGGCAAATGTTATATCAATCGAAAGCTCTCATCGAGCTGAGCTTAAAAATATTTTTTGCAAATTTTTCTGACCATTTTGTACAAAGTTACAAAAGGTCGAATTTTCGGGTGTGGGCGGTACCATACCCAGTGGGGGTACCAAAGGAGGGGCAATAAATTGAAAAGACTTACGTTATATTGTAGAGCATCCATAAATGCATCGAAAAATATATTATCTGTTTGGGTGGTCACTTGAGTCTGAACAAATTATGGCGGTCAGATTTTCTGTTTTGGGGGTTTTGGGGGACGAACGCCCCCAAATCGAGGCCGAGGGGATCTAAACGCCGCGTTTGGGGGGCCGAAGGCCCCCCAAACGCCCTGAGCCAACCCACCAACGCTACCAAAAGGCAAAGTAACCTTCTAAACGATGGGTTTGGGGGCCGAAGGCCCCCCAAACGCCCCGAATCAACCCACCACAGCTGCCAAAAGGCAAAGTATCCTCCTAAACTTTGGGTTTGGGGGGCCGAAGGCCCCCCAAACGCCCTGAGCCAATCCACCAACGCTACCGAAAGGCAAAGTAACCTTCTAAACGATGGGTTTGGGGGGCCGAAGGCCCCCCAAACGCCCCGAGTCAACCCACTACAGCTGCCAAAAGGCAAAGTATCCTCCTAAACTTTGGGTTTGGGGGGCCGAAGGCCCCCCAAACGCCCCGAATCAACCCACCACAGCTTCTAAAAGGCAAAGTATCCTCCTAAACTTTGGGTTTGGGGGGCCGAAGCCCCCCAAACGCCCTGAGCCAATCCACCAACGCTACCGAAAGGCAAAGTAACCTTCTAAACGATGGGTTTGGGGGGCCGAAGGCCCCCCAAACGCCCCGAGTCAACCCACTACAGCTGCCAAAAGGCAAAGTATCCTCCTAAACTTTGGGTTTGGGGGGCCGAAGGCCCCCCAAACGCCCCGAGTCAACCCATCACAGCTGCCAAAAGGCAAAGTATCCTCCTAAACTTTGGGTTTGGGGGGCCGAAGGCCCCCCAAACGCCCCGAGTCAACCCACTACAGCTGCCAAAAGGCAAAGTATCCTCCTAAACTTTGGGTTTGGGGGGCCGAAGGCCCCCCAAACGCCCCGAGTCAACCCACTAGATCTGCCAAAAGGCAAAGTATCCTCCTAAACTTTGGGTTTGGGGGGCCGAAGGCTCCCCAAACGCCCCGAGTCAACCCACTACACTGCCAAAAGGCAAAGTATCCTCCTAAACTTTGGGTTTGGGGGGCCGAAGGCCCCCCAAACGCCCCGAGTCAACCCACCACAGCTGCCAAAAGGCAAAGTATCCTCCTAAACTTTGGGTTTGGGGGGCCGAAGGCCCCCAAATGCAATGAAAAGAATTTAAATCTATTTAACGTAAATCGCCAAGCAAAAAAGAAAATCTAGCGTCCTTTTAAAGCCGCAGGCTTTCCACGCGCGTCCCTGGACGCGTCCCCAAACAACCAAAACTTAACAGTAATGTAACCAAACGCTCCCCCCAGCGTAACCAAACCCACAGTATCTTTACACCCACCCAGCTACTCACCCTGAGCTAGTTTTCTATTAAAATTGAATGAATTAAAACTTTAATATAATTAAGTAAAAGGTCAAACCTATATTTTCTTTTGTACTTTTAGAGCTATTCTCTAAATTTTTTTAAAGGTTGTGCTTATATAAATGAACGAATGAAGAGAATAAAAAATATGAGATGGAAATGTGGAGGTCAAATACCAGAAAAAGTCAAAAACAATATGTCAGAACATGAACATAAATGGCTTAAAAATTATAATGAAATTACTTTTGAATTTCAAAATGAATTTGGAAAAGAGGATGAAGAAAATGAAGGAGAGGAAGTAAATGGAGGAGATGGTAGGTGTTTTTAAAGTTTTTTTATTTTTAAAAATATTTTGTAGGTGTTAATTTATTTAATTATGTTGATCCTCCTGATAAATTGATGGTTAGTTTTTAAATTGAATTAAAAATTTTGGGGAATTTTAGGAAGGTTTTTTCTGTTTATTTTTTGTATGTTCTTTTTTTTATGTTCTCGTTTTCTTATGTTCTCGTTTTGCCTCTTTTTCTAAATTTCTTTTGTTAAAAAATTTTTGATTAAACAAAAATTTCTTTTTTTTTCAGGTCAAAGTTAGAGCTTTAAAAGATAGCGGCCAATTTGAAACTAGTGATGGAATTACCGTTGTTTTAGCAAAAGGTGCTGTTCATTTATTGCCTCGACAGGATTGTGAGAATTTAGTGAGGAAAGGAGTACTTGAATATATTAATCAAATAACTGATTAAATAATTTATTTTTATTTTGACATTAATTTGCAAAAAATTTTTTTTGAACTTTTTATCATTTTCTTTGTGTTCATAAATTGATATCATTTAATTTTTGTTAATCAATAGAACAATTTCTCTAATTGTTAACAAATATATATTTAAAGAATTTAATTATTATTTTTTATATTTTTTTAGTAATTATATAATGTGTCCATCACCTCCCATTAGATCAACACGCAGTAAGTGTGCTTGTTTTTGGAAGACTTTAATTGTTGTCACTGCTATTATTACTGCTCTCTTTGGTGTTTTTGTTTATCTGAATGAGGAATTTGAACCTGTTGTTTACAGGTTTGTTTAAATTAATTTTATTCTGAGGATTGGCTTGGACTCTTCTAGTTTAAATTCAAATATTTACAATTTTAGACTTCCACCACCACCCTCACTCAAAGGGCCATTAAAACCCAACAATTATCTACGTAATGCTCAAATGCTTCTAAAAGGCCAAATTATGGGGCCAGAATCTCTGGTTGTTGAAAAGGACGGAAAGAAGACAGTTATTTACACTGGCACTTGGGATGGAAAATTGTTAAAAATAGTTAATGGAATTGTGGAGAAATCTCTGAAAATTAAACCTGGAAAGAAGACTTTTGCCTGCGGTATTTTTTTTATTTTAAAACAGAATTTTCCTTGATATTATTATGATGAGAGACACCGAATGGTTCGAACCTCAGATCCCGAACACCAGAATAGTATCTCGTAATTTCGTGTTTTTTGATGTCCATTGATTAGCATCTTATAAGGATTCAAAGATTTTGCCTTAATTGACTTATGTATATTAATTAGAATTGAAAAAATTTTTTATTTAAAATTTAGGAGCGACATATCATACAGAACCAAAATGTGGCCGTCCTTTGGGAATTCGTCGTCTTAATGAAAGGGAATTTATTGTGGCTGAAGCTTATAGTGGATTATACACTGTGGACTTTGAAAAGGGTAAAAATGATTTTCAAAGCTTTTAAGTACTTCTTTTTTATAGGAATTGTTAATCAAATATTCTCCAATGAACAAACACTTGAAGAAAAAAAGTGTCATTTTGCTAATGATTTGGATATTTTAAATGGGAGGAATGATAGCAATTCATTTACTGTCTTTTTCTCTCATTCGTCTACGCGTTGGGACAGACGCCGATTTATGCATGACTTTTTTGAAGGAAAATCGACTGGAAGGTTTTAAATTTTAAAAGTTTTTTAAATTAAATTAATTTAGACTTATTCGAGTTGAATTTGATGGAAACTTAAAACCGAAGCCATCAGTTGCTCTGGATGGTTTGGGGTTTGCTAATGGCGTTCAACTTCATCCTGATGGAGAATCTCTTCTTGTATCAGAATGTTCTCGTGCAAGAATTATTAGGTTTTTTAAATAAATCTCCAATGATTTTGAAATATTTCCGAAGTATTGCTTGAATAAAATACCTTTATTAAAGGCAATTCAGTATTCATGTAAATTGTTTCAAGTAATTTCTGTCCAAGTAACCGGGAAAGGAGTTATGAGGGTTTCTATTTTTTTATTTTGTTCTTTATAGGTATTTCCACAGTGGCCCTAAACGAGGACAACATTCTGTCTTTACCAAGAATTTGCCTGGATTTCCCGATAATATTCGAATTTCTTCATCTGGACAATCTTTCCTTGTCGGAATGGCTGCTGTTAGACATTCTGATCAATTTATCTCGTTTATGGACTTTTTGGGTGGCCATCCATGGATTCGATGGGGAATAGTACAGGTTTGTTTGGAATTCGATTTGTAATAGGTCACCTTTTTAATTAATTTTAAATCTCATTTTTATTATTCTTTCCCCCTTTCTTCTCTCTCAATATTTGTCAAAAATTTATTTATTTAGATAATCCCACAACGTTATCTTACATCAATTTTAAATTTAATCGCACAAAAATATGGAATGGTTGTAGAATTGGATTTAAATGGTAAAATTATCCGTTCATATCATGACCCAACAGGAACTGTTATTCAAGGAGTTTCACAGGTTGAATAAAAAAAGAAAAATATTTTTGAAAGTTTTTACAATTTTTAGGCTTCTGATGACGGTGACTTTCTTTATCTTGGTTCATTCCATGCTGACTTTATTGGAAAAGTTCCGAAGAAAGGCTAATTACAAATGATTTTAGATAAATAAATTGACTAAATTTAATAGATATACAGTCGTGGAAAAAAGTATGGAAGCGCTTTAAAATTTCTTTTTATTTTTTAATTTTTCATTCAAAAAATACGTTTTATATACCAATCGAAAGCTCTATTCGTATCTCAGTTGACATGTTTCTGCATTTTTCATGAAAATGAAAATTGGCCGAGATAATCCGGATCTACCGGATATACCAAATCCCACTTTTTCGGAAAAATTTTTCGGAACAAATTTAACAAACCCAAATGATAAAGCATATTTTTGTGAGCATTTACCACAAAACCGCTTAGAAATATCTTTTTCCGGAGCAGAGATATGATTTTTTAAAAATTGCATTTTTCGTCTATTTTTGCAAAAAATTCAATTTTTAAGCGAAAAATGCCATTTTCAAAAAATCATATCTCTGCTCCGGAAAAAGATATTTCTAAGCGGTTTTGTGAAAATACTCAGAAAAATATGCTTTATCATTTGGGTTTGTTAAATTTGCTCCGAAAAATTTTTCCGAAAAAGTGGGATTTGGTATATCCGGTAGATCCGGATTATCTCGGCCAATTTTCATTTTCATGAAAAATGCAGAAACATGTCAACTGAGATACGAATAGAGCTTTCGATTGGTATATAGAACGTATTTTTTGAATAAAAAATTAAGAATTTAAAAAACTTTTTCTAGCGCTTCCATACTTTTTTCCACGACTGTATAAAATACACGTGTATTTTATTTTTTAAGCTACTCAAAAATTTTTGGATAAATTATTTTATTTTTTTAAATATTCACTGAATAAAGTTTGAACAATAAAACAGTTAAAAATGACAAAAGTATTTAAAAATTATCATCTTTTAACTGTTTTATTGTATTTTTATTTTGTATAAGTTACTATCTCATCCCTGTGTTCCTAGAGTTTTTATTTTTTTGTTTCACAATTTATATTTGTGTTCGATAAAGAGAAATAGTAATCATTTTTTAATGTCTAAAAAATACTTTATCTAATATAAAATAAAAGAAAAAGTTAAACATAACATTATATATTAGTTTGTTAACTACCAATATACCGTAAATGTTCTATTAGATCACATGCGCTTCTATTTTTCGATCTTCTAGTAGGGGATGTGGTTATTTTAGAGTGTGCTTCAAATAGAGAGCGTTCTTTATTTTTCAATGTTTTTACCGTTTCTACTCATAATTCCAATTATTGAGATTCAAATTATTACTTTTTTAGCCTAAATTGTCCTAATTTTAAGCTTAATTTTCTGAAATTAAAAATATAGTATCTGTCATTATTTAAAAAGCTATTTGATAATAAACAAAACATCTTGTAGCAAAATACAAAATACCCTTCAGGATCACGCAACGAAGGGGTTTTCAGAAAACATTTACAGCAGGATTCAATATGTTAAATCCAGCATCCCGCGAAGCAAAAAAAAGTTCTGACTTCCGAAGTAGGGTGTGCTTATATTAGTCTGTTTCAAATAGATAGTGTGGTTTTATTAGAACATTCACGGTATTATTGAGTTTAAAAATAAATTCTAATTCCCCGCAAAAACAAAAGGGGAGTACATATTTCTTTAAAAATATAAAAGTTTCTGAACTCCCAAAAAGACTAATTCTCAACTCCATAAACGAAAATTGTTTAAAATTTTAAAATTTAAATACCCATAAAAATTGTTTACTAAAGAATATTTTCTTTTAAATCCCCCTATAATTTCTCACAAAATTTCCTAAAACATTTAATTCCCTCCTCTAGGTCGACGTCCTCTTCGACCTCCTCTACGGACTTCAGGTTGACCTCCTCCTTGATCACTACTTTGCCCTTGACTACTTCCACCAGTATGTTGTTGATGTCCTCCATGTTGTACACCTCTAAGTTGATCGTAATTTGATGAACAAATGTTGTAAATCTATTTTTTATTATAAAAATTGGTTAATATATTTTAATTTTCTTAATATTTTTTTCCCTCAATAACTCTAGCAAAAAAATCTTCCTTTTAAATTGAGAGCGAAATACATGTGAAGTCCCCGGTTTCTATCTATTGTTTAAATAAGAATTCGACATTTTCAAATGCCTGGTGCGGTATCTGAGGTCTCTTTTAAAAATTGATCCGGTCAAGAGTTTCTATGTTAAACCCCCAGAAACCCCTAAAAACCGGATTTTATCAAATTATCCGATTTCCGAGTTACCGGTGTCTATTTATTAAATAGTATTAAAATTCCCAAAGAATTTAAGTATTTTTAATAAATTAATTAAAGGTGTATTGTCTTTATTTAAAAAATAAAAGTTTAAATAATTTACAGAATTAACCAATCCATAATGTATTTGTGGAGGAACAATTAGGGTATTTGAAAGTTTTAAAGGTTCAATAATACTTTCATCTAAATATTCTCTTTGATTCTCATTTTTGTAAACAATTTCATTAATAAAATAATTATTTACAATATTTTGTTCAAGTTTTTGTTTGAGTTTTGGAGAATAAATATTGTAATAAAAATCATAAAATTTTGTAAATAAAATATTATTTTCAAAATTTTGATTAGGTAAAGCTTGGTTATTTATAACCCAAATACAATCTTCTTTTGTTGGTAATAATTCTTCTTGTGAAACTGAATTTTAAAAGTAATTGGAAAAATACATAAATATTTAAATATTTAGAAGACTACATAATTATCTTAAGCGTGTCTTACATTTAAAGTGTTTTTAAAAAAGGATATTTTAGAAATGCAGGGAATTTATTTATAACTAAAATCAAAATCCAAAATTTATTATTAATTATATCAAAAGTTTAACCAACGGTCAGGAATCGAACCGTTGACTTTTCTAAGTGCTTAGA